TGTTTCTTAGATGAATGCTCAAAAAAAAAAAAAAAAAAAAGAAGAAAAAGAAATAAGAAAGAAACAAATGTTTAAAAGCAAAAATTTTATGGGGACAAATAAAATATTATAAAATACATATACAATAAAATGATCGCAGCTCGAAAGAATATGAAGAAATGTTATCAGTTATATGGTGATGTTTAATGTGATAAGGTCTGTAATACTGTCTTTGCAGGATGGTCGGTCTTGCAGTTATTTTAAGATCCTGTTGTGTAATAAATATAAACTCATAATTTTAAATATTTTATTATCTTATTGTAATTTTTTTTATATTTGAACAATTAAATATATTGAACGTGCATAGATTCTATGAAACAGATAGGACATTAGGAGTAAAATACATTTAAATGAGGGTTGTAATCTTTGTAATTTTCATATAATTTTTACATATATTTCTTTCAGGCAGTATTATTTACAAAAATGTTCCACCTTCTACGAAGTCTTGATAATTCAGTCTTGACACAAGTTATACGTGTATATGATCCCAATCATTATATTTCTGCTTTCGATTATATTAAGAAATTTATTCTTTTTCCATATTCATTATTTATGCTTGCTTACATATGCGTTTTATTATAATTATTACTCATATTAAATATATTTAAAAATAGAAATTAGAAAATGATTACTACAAGAACGCAATCCATTAGATATATAGTTATTAAAAAAAGGAAAAATATATATTTTACTCGTTTTCTTTCGTTTTCATTTCATTAGAGATTGGAAAACGAGTCCTTCGAAATTAATGTTTGTATGTATGATAAATTTTCATTTTTTTTAAATTCATTCGTTCCAACTTCTATGTTGACATGAGCAACGCGACTGTAAACATTTTTATAAATTTCTGCATGAATCATTCTCATCGTGCACAGTAATATTCTTTCTCTCAATTCTTTTTCTCGATTTGGAAGAACAGAGGAACGGAATTCAGTTACATATTTTCTATCGTTCTTTGGCAATCTACGAAGAGCTATACACCGCCAATATTACAAATTTCTTCAATAATTTTCAACATTTCGTGAAAATTCCTTTGATGATAATAATCCAGCATTATCATTTGTTAACATTAATATATTCACAACGGAACATAAATATATATATATATACATAAAAAATGGGCATAAAATTAACATAAAAATATTTAGGGTGTATGTGAACTTCGTAAATACTTAATATAATGATATATAATGGTTTTAATTAAACAATTAACTTATCATTTTATTATGCTCTCGTCCAACATACAAATGTAGTTGGAAGTAATTCGGTGGTGCATTTCTCTTCAAAGAAGCTCATAAAATGCGAATCATATTCGCAGATATCTTAACAGCTACGGTAAAATGTACACAGTGTTCGAGAAGTTTTCGAAAGCACCGAGTTTTAAAGTTAAAATAGCCTGTACAAAGATGTTTGCTCGATAATTCGTTTTGTACACGAAAGCGAATATATGTGTCGTTTTTATTTCATTTCATATTGATTAATGGAATTTGAAACCGATATTTCCAACTCACTGTGTGAAAATATATCTTAAATATAAGCTTAAAGATATATACCTGACGATAGAAAACGACTCACATATTCCATAATTAAATGGAGATTTTAACTTTGAATTATTAGTTATTTTCGTTATTCTTAAAAGATAAATAATTAATATATTACTATGCGGTTACCTTACGCAAAAGCGTAATACTGTCATCATGAAATTTCATTTTTTTTTTTTCTTCTTTCTTCAGTTTTCTCTCCCTTTTTTTTTTTTTTTTTTTTTTTTGCGGAAAACGAGCACACGATAAATTGTTTCATATTTATCTTTCCATTTTTACAAACAAGATTACGAAGAGACAACCGCTTTATATAAAAACTTTTTAACATTGCTTGATGCACAGAATGTAGAATTGCAAAATTAATATTTTAATTCGACCACACAATAATTCGAAAGATGCCATTTTTACTTATAAAGATATATGTGTAGAAATATACAAGGATGTAAAACACAATTGTATTAAATTGTGCTTCGCGTATGTTAACTTACAGAAATAAATTGTAAAAATCACTTATGTGCAAACAGCAGAGTATAAAATATAATAAAGATAGTATTTACAATATTATATGATTAAATGTTAAGCGAATTCTGTAGTGCCATCTGTTCGTGTCACGTTCTGCTCATTTATTATTATGTTCTAATCGGGCAGAGATTTTGATTTTTTTGAGTGAAAGAGCAGACTCTTTTTATATTGAATAACTATTATACATTTTTCACTGCCCTCAATAAATGTTATATATATATAGATGTAAATTATATACTGATCTTATTTATGAGGCTTCAAGAAACACATAAAAATCACTTATATGTATTATAATGTTTTTAATTAACAAGATATTATAGATACTACATATCTTGATCATCTTCGTAATTAGTTTAATAACAATTAATTGTAGAAATACAATTTCTATGCATAGTTTGAAACATACAAAACAATGAGCACAATGGCCAGGCTTAAAATGCCAAAGATCACAAAACACATGAACAATTTGATAGATTAAAGAGAATGACACTAAATACAGACACTTTAAACTTGCTGTTTGTACTATAATGATCATGACAAATTGGAAAGTCTGCCATTCACTTAACTAAACATCCCAATAATGTAACGTGAATTACATTGTGGAATCATTTATATTTTTACTAACAATATGATAATATATAAAAAAGTTTGAATCTTTATCAACATCGAGCAATCATGAGGCAAGGATAATTGAATCCTCTTAACCATAAAAATGAGCATAGTTTATATCTCAAGCTTTTCTTAATATTATACATTTATATATTATAATCTTAGTTGAAAAAAACAAAAATAAAATGACATGATATACCTCAATATGTTTGACATCGATGTCAATGACATAAAAATTAACGATCATTTTTTACAATGAACATGTTGTGTATAAGAATTATACGCAGATAATCCCCCTTTCTCGTAATTTCATAATTTTCATTCATACAAAGCATCGATCAAAAATAATTTTCAATTTTCAAAATAAATATATATATATATATATATAGCTTCTGCCAAATCATCAAACTCAATTTGAATCTATAAACATTATTATTTTGAATAATATCATGTCTACAATGCTTTGCCATCGTGTTTCAAAATATGAATTTACGTTAAAAGGGGTAAAAAGACTGCTCAAACATTAAAACATCATTTTTAAACTACAATTCTAAATTCTACTGATATCGTAATTCGCATCAGTACACAAGAGCATGAAAAACTCTTTAATGTATTTGGGAAATAGCACACGAGTTGCAAATAGATAATATGAATGAATGATGAACAATTCACAAAAAAAACCCACTGATTTCTTTAATCGGTAATAATACCAATCAATAAGACATTCGGAATTATTTACAATTTATCAGCCTTATTTATGCTTGTACATAGGAAACTGGAACTAAATGATATACATATAGATCTATTATTCATATGTGTTGAATATATCCATAATGTATGCGCTCTTATAATTTTTTCAATGCATAATTCCATTCTGTATATTTTATTTTTTACATTGAATTGTAAATTCATTTACTTGATTATGCTTGTTTATGATTTTTATGATTCCTTAGATAAAAAAAAATCGTGATTAATAGTATATGTATTTTTAATAATATCACATATTAGTTAATCACGAAAATTTTATACTACTTATAGTAGATACTAAAGCTTAACTATAATTAATAAAATAATATAAAGCAACACGGTATTGGGTGGATAACAAGGCCAGTAAAGTCTAAAAATTCATCATAACAAAATAATTATAATCACGAAATATAACGTATAAAATACCAAGTTCTCTAAAAAATTTCATTATGAAAAAATGATAATTTTAATTACCATTATCTTCCAATGAAATATATATTTAAAAAAAAAAGATAACAAGTCAATATATAAAATGCTTAAAAGTGCATATGTATGTTACAAATAATGCATGTAAATATACAGAGAAATAATAACAATCCACACAATTTTCAAAATTGTTTTAGAAAAAAAAAAAAAGAAATCGATAGAAATCGAGACAGTCAATTTGTCATAATTAGAATTATTTCACGTAACAATAGTAAAAAGGTACAGTTACATATAATTAATATTCTTTTTATAATATGTTTTTTTATAAGCATATTTTTTGTCTAAAACAGAAATTTTGTACTACAAACTTGCTTTTTTTTTTATAATTTTGAATTCCAATAATTAATAGGATTTAAACAGAACTGGTACTGTATCCATCCGATATATATAGTTCATATACATATCATAGTCATTCGACGTGGAGTTAATTTTCTCGATTGAGAACAATAGCCAAGCACAAACAGTCCTGGAGGCTAAATAAATAGCGTAGCCGTTTAAAATTGGCTTCACGCTATATAAAAGTTAATTACGATAAAATTTGAAAACTGCGCAACATTGGACCTTCAAAACTGTAAAACGTGCCCATCATATACAATACAATTTACGTATATGTTTCAAGCAGTTATTGAAATATATGTTCATTTATAGGTACGCCAAACATGGCGATGCATAATGTCCACACTAGACTTTCAAAAAGTCTCTATGAATAGATGTAAAATATACATCTTGATTATTTTATACATTGTCTACTTATGATGCTTCTTCTTACTTCAGTTTAAAAACACAGAATATTGAAGTTTTCTTAATCGACACTACATTTTCACTAGACTTTGATAATAAATATTATTATCTTTCCTTTGTTGAATTGTAATAAGTCGATTATTATGCAATTGCAGATTGTTACGTTCTTCTTCTACTTCATTAGTTATCATTGGTTGAGAAATAAGTTGTAATAAACTTCATTGAAATATTCAATGTGCAATGATATGCACACTTTTGTTTGTCAATTGTATATTTCTTAAGAATAGTTATCTTTCAAAGAAATATTTTGTTAAAAGTAATTCCAAACTCTGAATTTTACTTTTACACACCAATATTATGTTTTATATTTATTTGCATGTGATCTTTTTGTAAAGTCTCAAGAATTTGTTTCTGCATATTATGTTCTACCTAAAATTTATAATTGTTTTAAATTTTTAAATAACATAAATTAGCAATTTTATTTTTAAAAATTATTTTTCATACCTCTAATGGTGTTAAACTTCCTCTTTTTGCTTGTAAAGCTGGATTTTTGAAGTCTCGTGCCAAAACATTCAACTGTGATTCTTGGCGTGCTATATTATTCATAAGTTGAAGATGTTTTTTCCTTATTTCTTTATTGATTACCTATTATAAAATTGATATGATGATTGCCTTGTATTATTAATATAATATTATTATTAAATTATACTTACCATATTGTCTGTTAATTGTACTTCTGTTTCATTAAAAGTATCTAAAATATTAAAAAAAATTTATTATTGAATCTTATTAGTATTTTTGATATTCTATTTAATAAACATGTATATAAGTACTTACTTTCAAGAATTGGTATATGCCTTAGATCATCAAATATTTTCATTATTAGATCTGTAAAATAAAAATCAAATGTTTAATAAAATCGTAAAAATTTATATAAGTTAAGTTTTTTTAAATCAGAAAAATTAAAATATAAAAAATATAAAAAGAAAAGTCACATATGCATTTGAGCTTGGGCATATATTCTATAAAAAACTCTTGTGCATATTAAGAATAATATCAATATCTATAAATAGATATGATATGATATTGAATGAAAAAGTACCACCCACTACTTTGCAATAAACAAAATTTAGTTGTTTACTTCGTTTGTAGATGCAGGGTTACTGTACTGAGTTCGGTACCTGGATTTGCTTCCAGGTCTGGGCTCAGCAATGAATTGTCCTGAAGATCGCCATATTCCGGTTCCAATTCAGGATTTGGAGCTATAAGTGGTATACTAGAATCCACTTGCTGATAATCAGTTATGACTTCACTTAGACTTGAATTTGGCGATTCAGCAATCTTTAGTGATTGAGGATTTATATTGTTGAAATCCGTTGAAAGTTCTGAAAATTCTTCATCAACGAAAGACTTACAATCAATGTAAGAAATATTCTGTTCATCGCTTGTATCCGATGATGCGTAAGGAACATTATTATACTGTCTTTTTTTAGTGCAACCTGTCTTAATATCTTCGTCACTATATATCCTCTTCAATGGATAAGGATGATTCTTCAAATCAGAAGTAACATTATTATCAATCGCATTCTTTTCAAAGTATTCAATCATTGTTTCGGGCGTATAAACATCCATATTACGTTCAATTTTAATATTACATGAATTATTTTCTATTGTTGCAACAGGTTTCTTAACCGTAGTATTAGGATTCAAAATATCCACATTTTGACGAAGTTCAAGTTGAGATATTCCAGATTTTCGTTGGGTATTTATGCATGATTCTACATTAGACATACTATTAGTTCGTGATGAATTTTGCTCATCTTGTGTACTATTACGTGTTTGTTTTGTAACTTCATGTACAGTTTTTCTTGACGATCTCGTATTTTCTTGTCTTTCATTAGAGTTATTCTTATTAGTATTTGTCTTTGATTCTGATTTCTGATTATGATTTGCCTTGGCTTGCACCATTAAATAACGATCGATTTTCTTAATTCCAAGTCTTCGAGCTTGGGCTTCAGCAGGAGGTAAATGTTGTGATATCATAGCAGCTTTCGCATACTGTTCATTTTGTGTAGGAGGTGATAGACAATCTTCTGGAAGAGGTGATGACAGGTCACTAACTAGATATGTGATAGCATCTTCTAATTGTGCGGGATCCTCCATATTACTTTTCGAATTCGGATTTTGAGAATCTGAGCCCTGTAAATTGTAATGTTTCTAATAATTTTTTAATATTCATTTTAATCTGATAATATTCGACTAACTTTTACTTTATATTATTCATGCAATTACATACAAATTTAAAAAATAAATTACCAAATCAATCGATGCATCATCTCCATTTTGGATTATGGCTCTCATAGTTTCAGAAATCGTAGCCGAAAATCTCTTTTTCATCTGTTGCATAAGTTGTATTCCTTCCTCTTCCCTATAAAGAAATTTACAATATTGAATTTACAAAAGAAGATGAAAAGATGAAAAGAAACAATTATTAATATATCTCAAAACTTACGATACTAATGTATTTATGCACACAAGTGATACTGCAATTTGTGTATCCTTATCTACTTCTAAATATCCATGAGTACGTAGATAAATGGGTTCTCCTGTTTTTGATGTTAATCTATAACAAGATGATCCACAAGTTTCCGCGCGATCGTACACTGTAAATTAATTATTCAAACAATTAAAAACCATGTACATGAATTACAATAAAATATATAATTATTAACATATAAATTAAAAAAATTATAACTGTAAAAATTACAAGATAAAAATACTTGGACTCACTTTGACGAAGTGCAACCATCGCCCAAATACGATCATCTTTATGCATGAAACCAAAAGCACTCATACCCGATACTTCTTCCGATAAATATCCAGCCACAACTGACACCCTATGATCACAATAAATGATCCTGCCATCTACCAAATGTCGAGTGATATACTCGTTCTTATTAGCATCTATTATCGAAATTTTCGTGAGTGGCTGTTTCATCAATAATTGTGCTACACCCACGAAAACGATGTCGTTACTGGTTGAAGTAATTTCTATAAAAAAAAAAAATTGGAATGATCAATCTTTTGTTTAACTCAAAGTTTTTCATTAATTTAAGATTCAATTTATAATTTGAATGATTAATTTAAATATATTTAAATATATATATTTAAATATATTTAAATATAAATTTAAATGATTAATTTAATATAACATACATCTATAACAATTTTTTTTATTATAAATAAAAAATTATAAATATATAAATGATAAAATGTTATTAGCATTTCAAATCATTGTTTATACATTGTTATGTATCATTACCTCGATGTCTCGATCGATTAACATTTGACGCGGAATTTTTGCAAGCATCCGCAAGCCTGAGCATTCCAGAGAATTCAAACCATTCGTACTGTGTATGCTCTCGCCTCGATGAAGTACGATGCAACATTCGAAGTTCGAAAGTCCGCCTCTGATTTTGGAACGTTTTACCGTTCTTCGAAGATGTTGAATCCTCCGATGAATTGGAATTGTCATTCGATCCGTCGGTGATCTGTGGCAATGACGAGGATACCACACCTTGCATTTCATCCGGGTTAAGGTTCCTCGCAAGCTCCTCTTCATCTTTAGGATGAATGAATGCGTAAAGAGAATGGCCAAGTAGGTCCGCCTGTAATATATTATTCATTTTATAGAAGAGTGATCACTGATTATTCGATTATTTTTCTTTTTTTCAAGTTTGATGAAAAAGAAAGGTTAGATGGAGAAAAATTAATATCTCAATAAAGAATAGGAAGGCGTGATTAAAACAATGTATTAATTTGATATTCAATTCCAATTGACATCTTTGGATTACGTATACCTAAAATCAAAATTTTAGATTAAATTATATAAGTAATTAATTAAAATTAAAACTTAACTTTAACTATTAATAATCTCTTGGGCATTAAAATTCAACTCTAATCGCAATCAATCATAACGAACAAACTTCCTCAAACTCGAAATTCGACTCCATTAAATTTTACGAAAACTTTCGATGACTGATCGTTAAAACTATTGTAGAAAACTGGCATTAGATCCACGCGTTCTTATTCATTTTCCTTCTGCATCTTGACTTCGATTTGTTGCGATTTAATCGCGACGAACACGGTGCACCATGTCGGCGACGAGGCTCGTTTTCACCACAGGGAGTTTCTCCTTGAGAACAATACCGACTGATTGTGAGTATCTCCTTAAAAAACCTAGAAGATCCCGCGCAAACAACTCACCGCACCGCCTCCACATTCTTTTCTTTCTTTCTTCCTCTCTTATTTTTTTCCTTCTTGATCTCTCCTTCTCATATCTCTCTTCTTCTTCGATCTTTCTATCTTTTGTCACCGAGTTTCTTCCTCCTTTCGTCCTAGTATATTCTTACACTCTGAAGTTATAACTCAGTCGAACGTTAGTAAGCAAGTTCGTTATGTTCGAGCATCGAATTATCGTTATACTCGAATATGGAACGCCATGACAGTTTTTACGGAATCATGTGGATCGATAGAACTTTTTACCTTTCGATTGTTCGAGAGTCTAATCTTCATCATTCTATTCTTTTATCAAAAAGATTTTCGATTTCGTTTTCGTTTTCTTTTGTCTGATAAAATGACAAAATCTTTAAATGATGGATTTGTCATAAATTGATTTAAATTAAGAATTTAAATTAACCTTTTATCCGTTATATATACTCGTTATGGTAGAAGAAATGACAATTTTTTATATTATAACGAATATACTCGTTATCTCTCATTTTTGTAAGACAATTTAAACATTTAATATATTAACAATTAACAGTTTAAGAAACACGTATATTTTTAAAAGTTGTAATATTTTTAATATTATAGTATATAGTGAAACGTATCTTGAACATATTAATATTGTTAAAATTTCAAAGAATAGAATAGTGAAGACGACGAATAGTTGAACTCAAGAAATTCTGTTTTAAGAATATTCTCAATCGGAATTTTCGTAATTATCGAAATATTGTGGTCTAAAGTTTCAGAGGAACTTTATTCGTTATTCTCTAACGCGCGCTTCTCGACTTAGAGGGCACCAGTTATGAAGTTAATAACGAACCGAAGTCGACTGGTTGTATGGGCATTCCACGATTCTATTAAACTCAAGAATACTTGATGATATAGAGGAAATGAAAAAAGAAAAAAAGAAAAAGAACAAACAAAAAATCAAGAATCAAAATTTTCACGATAATTAATCATTTTATTCGTCGAAAAATATATAATAACATTCTTCAATGAATCAAAATTTGAATAACATTCGTTTCAATTTTTGAACAAAAATCATAAAATAGAAAAAATTACAGCAAATATCTTTGATCTGATATTTTCTATTATTTTTTAACGTCGTATGGAAATGAAAACAGAATGAATATTGATGATATTTCGAGTTGTTATATGAGAAAAAAAAAAAGAAGAAACATCATTTTCTTGTGAATGATTTCTGAAAAATAATTCGCTTATCGTTGAAATGGCAAACATTTTTTATATCGTTTCAGCTATCCTAGACAAAATAATATGCTCTTGTTTATTCCATTCATCCTTGTATACAATGCTTCTATTAATTTTTTATCTCTTGTTTCTTTTTATTTATTTTTTATTTATTTTTTTTAATCGCATACATACATCGCATTATTTATATCTGTTTAAATCCTATTGATTCCGTTCGAAATAATCCGAGTCTGTACACGTGCAACAAACAATTCGATTGAAAATCGAGTTCGGATCACGTAGTTAACTGATTATTCTTTACATGAACGATAAATAGAAGATGGAAAAAAAAATAAGATAACGAAATAAGGAATAAAAAAAATATATTAATGAAAAATAATTAATAATAATTTTTTGCTGAGTTAATCGGCTTGTCATTACTTATAAATTAATAAATATTAAATATTTTTATATTTTTGATAAAATTTTAATAAAATTTTAATAATTTTCTGATACACTTTAAATATATTCGTGAAATATTAGAAAAACATGTTAGAGATTTAAAATAATTAGATAAATATCTTTTATTTACCTAATCTTATTTTTAGAAAAAGATATATTTTTTATCTCTCTTACATCGAATCCCTTAAATATTGATAAAAATGTGATTCTACAAAACATGGAAAAAATTCCATAATAATAAATGAAAATAATGAATTAAATAATATGAAACCGTGAATAATCCATGCAAATTTCCAGAAAGATTTAATACGTTGAAAAAAATATTGCAGGTGCAGAGTAGTTACCATGGCGGCCTGGTTCGTTTGATCGATAATTTGGAACCCTTGGAAAGAGTTATGTTTCATTGCAACTGCAATTGGATCGCTATTGAAGCACTGCAAAGAATTAATCTCGCGGAGAAAAATTTAATTTAAGGAAAAACAAAAGTCTTTATCATTTTATTGATCGTTGAAGAATTAACCAGATAGAACTAGAAAAGAAAAATAATATTTTTATAACATATTACAAACAAAAATCTTTCTTATTCGAGAAATACGAAATAAATTTTTTAAATAATAAAGAAAGATTATTAACTATCTTGAATAGTAAAATAAAATAGTTGATCATTCGTTATAAAATATAAAATTAAAATTGAAAGTGAAAATAAATTTTTATTAGAAACATAATCTGCTTTCGTCGAGCAGAAAACCGTAATACGGTATCACGAATGTGATTTGATATTTTAAAACAAAGGGTAAAGTATATTCCTTTGCGGTTTTATATGAAATTGGGATGAATATCCTATTTCACGTGACTTTTTTCACAATTTTTACATTTAAAATATATTTTCTTGCGCGTTACTGCTTCGAATTAAAACACATTATTATTTAAGAATTTATAACAAGATAAAAATAAGTTTGGTTTGCGTTACAGAATACAAACCAGTTGGGGATGAAACGGACAATGCAACGATCGCAAAGATTGATAAAACAATAGAAGCATAAATACACGATTGCGTGTCTGTGGGCGTTTACGTGGTGTGTTTTTAAGCGAGGGTGAGTGTATTTTTAAGGAAGGATAGCGTGGGATGAGGGTGAAGCTTGAGAGGATAGCGAACAGAGCGGAAGTTTTAGAAAGCACGGATTGAACAGACTAGCTTAGAGGGTTTACAGCGAGGAAATTTTTCGTGAGAAAGAGAGTTATGATGTAGAAAGGGTAAAGAAATGGATAAAGGAGAAAAGAAGGGAAAGTATGAAGATGAAAAATTATCCATTGTTCTTTCTTTTTTTTTTTAACATTATTTAACTTTTAATCCATTATAAATAATGAAATCTAAAAATTAATATAAATATTAAAAATAAAAGTTTGATAACTACGTTAAAAAAATTTATAATTTGATATATCATGAAACTTATTCAAATTCATGTTGTATAATTTCAGGAAAAGAAGCAATTAGATTTCAATTTTTTTGCAAAAATTTTTTAATAAAATAAAAGGAAAGGTAACGCTTAAGATAAAATTTACCTGAGTATGACCAAGATGTTCTTGAACTTGCCGACTGACGTATACTATTTTTCCGGTGGTCGTGACAACAATAAAGAAGCTCCCGTTTTTAATCAAATTCTGTTACGATTAACAAAAATGATTTTAACGTGTATTTAAGGATAAACAGAATTGAATCGATTTACGAGTACTCACATCGCCTATGTATTGTTCCAAATCCAGATCACCAAGTTCTCGAGGTAGAAAATCAGATACGCCACGTCCAACAGCTGAAAATGCACAAATGATCGTTAAACTAGTGAACATAATAATTGAACAATTCAATGGAAATCGAGATAATCAAAAGAAAAAAAGGATCTTTTTCTTTTTACAATTTAAATAATATATGTAATTATGTACATTTCTCGATTCATCTGATTTCTCTAAACTATTTAATATGAAATAATAATAATAATAATAATAATAATAATTTGAATTATAAAAGAAAAAAATGGTAATTAAATCAAAGAATTAAAAAAAATCTTATTATGAATTAATTATTTCACTTGCATCATATCTGAGCAATCTTTTGTATAATAAAATCTTAATCAACTCTTAGAATAATAGAAAAATAGAATTAAATATGAAATTAAAACTTTATACCAAATGATCCTTTTTAAATTAAAAATAATTTTATTTTTGAATCTTTCAATTAAAAATTGAACGTAAAAAAATTATTAAATTAAATCTCATACTATATCGTATTCTGAGGAAATTAGCGGCTAATCTCAGGATAGATATCTTGTCCATCTTCCTCGGGCTTTCGGCGACAGTTGGTACGAGCGCAGCCATCGCCGAGATGTTCGTATTAAGATTGTCTCGGCGTTGTTTCTCCGCCATGTTCCGTGACGCCCTTGGATTGCTATACCAAAAAAAGCAAAAAAAAAAAAAAAAAAAATGAACTTTTGTTTAAATTTCTTCTTTCAACCCTTCTTCAAGGGCGTATTCTAATTTCTAATTCATATATCACTCGATCAAATGATGGAAGAGGGTTAAGACATCAAACGAAATCGATGTCCTACATTTTACGGTCAGCCCTTGGCTTACAGAGAAGGCTTATAAGGCCTCCTAGTCATCGATTTAGTTAGTCGAAATTTAATTCGACACTGATAGATCTCGTTATTTCATTTATATTACAACGATCTATGTATATTGAGTTAATTATTGTAATTGAATTGGATATATTTATAAATAATGTAGTTATTAATTTAAAATTATGAATAAGAAAAAAATGGATAAATAAAAAGTTTTATTAAAAATTATTTCTCGAAACAATCGCTGTTTTAATTGATCATGGTAGTTTCTATTTAAAAAAAAAAAAAAAAAAAAAACTTTTATACGGGCTCGTGTTGCAGAAATTAAATAACCTGGAGGAAAAAGAACTTTTGAAATAATTGAACAGTTTTATAAAGTTTTGATATCTAGAAAAAAATTAAATTAAAGTTTAAAAATCAATTTCATCGTTTCGACGTCGTTTTATAATATCTATTTTATAAAATAGAAGTGTAACAATTTAATAAATAATTATATTTCCTTTTAACAAAAGTTGTAATAATTTATTATGATATAATAAATATTTATTTATAATTCGATATCATTAAAAAGAAAAAAGAAGAAGAAAAAAACAAATCAAATGTGTAATATTTTATTTTAATTTTTTTTTTTTTTTTTTTTATTCACTCACCTTTGGTATTTAAATAGTCGATTTATTTATTCGTACAAATGACGGTCATGCAAATAAACTGCGCACGTGTAACGAATAAGGAAAACATTGCGTGGTAGGAACGACAAATAATGCGAATGTTATATAAAATACAACAGTAATGAACGCACAAAATTATCCAAACTATATTACGATTATAACATTTTCAATTATGAGTTATTATATTATAATTAGTCTACATTAATTCAAATAGAAAATGTAAAATTCCCGCCAAAAATTATATAGTTTCTAATAATAGATTTCATAATATTAATTTTAGAATTAAATTCTCTTCGTAAAGATATTTCATGATATTAATTACTCGTTGCTTGTTTACATTTAACGTACATCACAGTTTTAAGAATGTTTCGTAACGAGATAAACAAAATAAAATATCTTAGACAGAAAACAACAACAAAATAAAATATCAAAGAATGATGGATTTTGAATAAATCTATTTTAATACAATTAATCCAAATATATTTATCGTATTGAACAATAATAATTATCTATTATTACTATTTAATTTTCATACAATCTTTTCATTCATCTTATTAAATAACAAACAATTAATTACTCAATTACACTCAACTATAAAAATATTAATTTTCGAGATTATTCCGTATTCTCAATAAATCTCATAAGAATTACTTTACTTCATCCAATTGAATAGAATCATCTCCTCCATTTATTTTCACTCGAAACATCGTTCTCCCTTTCCACTTTCGATTTTAAATCACCGTTTGAATAACCGTCCAACGACAAAAGGAGGCATTGAGAAAAAACCGAAAAGCTGCGTCACGTGTTATAGAGAGCATCAACCAATCAACGAGTGAAATGGTCTAGCCTGTAACGGCCCTCTTCACTTCGAAACAAATTCGAAGGGAAATATCTGTCACGTGTCAGATCCAAACTTGGCCGAATATGTTGTTGAACCGAGATGCGTAATAATTGAAATAAAGTTAGTAAATTAAATTCAATATGTAACTTCATACTTTATTATATTTCAAAACATCGAATAATCGAATAATTGATGCCAAATAATCGAGGTTATACGAATCGATTATAGTAGCTACGAATAAATATTATTCGAGAATTTTTTACTTAAAGTAACTTAATTTTTAACTACTTTTCCAATTGGGTTAATGCCCAATGCTCTGATGTCGAACGATCCAAAAATTAATTGGTTAAAATTTCGAATAAAGTTGCTTCGAGTAATTTATTTATAATTTTATTTACAAACTGTTCGAATAATATTTATCCGCAGCCATTATAATTGATATAACCACAATCTTCGATATAATCATAGAGCTACGATTAACTGCGGTTATTCAACGCTTTGAATAACAAATTATTCAAATAACTTATTGAAGTAAATTTATTCTTAACTTCAACCGTTGAAATTTTGCTCGTCTCTGCTTATTG